TATTAGTAATTATCGTAAGCCGGTATATATGGCAATATTTGAGATGTTATCAGGAGATCGGTCTCCATATAGTATAGGTTTAACCAATAGTCAMGATGTCTATCGATTGGTAAAGTTTTCAAAACTTTTATTTAATTACAATAAGAAAATTGTGTTATCATTTCCAATGGTTGGTATTATATTGTCTCTAGTTTTTTGGTATAACTATTTAAAATTATGTTGTTATTTACCAATATTATTGATACCAACGATGATTATTTGGACAATTATGTTAATACAAAGTGCTTTAATTATAGGCTTAACCTTATGTTATCCTTTAATATATTTACTAATAATATTATATTATACAAAACTAAAATTGAAATCAATTAATTTTGAAATTATTAAATTATTAAGACTAAATAAAAATCATAATATTTTTCATAAATGCCAAAAATTAATGATATCTTTAAATTCATGTCATAAAAACATAAAGGAATTGAATGACAATATTTGGTCAAAATTTATATTATTATTAATTTTTATAAACACTTTATTCATATCATTAACACTTTATATATCATTGTTTGTATCAATGAGTGGTTTACTAAAACTAACATTTGCTTATTGTTCACTATTATGGCTAACAATGTTTGTCATCATTTTGTTTATGGCTTCACAACTGGTTTATGAAAATAAGTCAACTTATAAATTATTGAATATATTTTTTATTAATCATTCAAATATAAACAGTTGTGTAAAAATAAAGGTAGTTATAATAAAAAATAAATTATAATAAATTATTTTTATTAATTATTTTTTTAAGATTTTATCTATGATTGAAAAAGTTAGCGACAACTTTATTGGATTTTATTGTTATAAGTTTTTTATCATTGATTATAAACACTTTTACGAAGTTTGTAATTATTTTATTAAAATATAAATATAACTTTTTTATAATTAATTAATTAATTTTATTAATTTTACAGATTATAATTCTTATGGCTGCGTTTTTTATAAAAATAATTCAATTATCATAAAAAATATTATTTTAATTTAATTATAATTTTATAGTATTGTCATTTACAGGTATTAATTAATTGGATTTTAATATTTAAGGGGTGATTCACATATTACATTTGCACTTTTTGTTCTATACTGTAGTTTTTAGCAAAAGTTCGCTTTGGCCGACACCCTCTCTCCCAAAGTGCGAACGTAATATAGAATATCCCCTAATATTAAATGTTAAATATAATGATTTTATTATTTATTATTATAATTATGGCTCATATTATACCAGACTGTCTATCACTCAGGTATTATTATTTTGTAAATATATTAACAACTATAAACAAAACATTAAAATGTGATAACCATTTCAAACAATTATGAAAACATTTATAAATAAAAACAATATTTAAGGAAAGTTTATATTAAAGTTCATTTTAAACTAAAAAATTTAAAATTTACATATAATAAATATAACAATGTTTTTAAGCTTAAATAAAATTATTAATGAGTTAACTAGCTCATAATAATTTTTTAAAGCTATTGTTTTTGTATTATATGTAAATAATATGAAAAACTATGTTTGAAAATTTTGTTTTACTGCCGGTATTTTAAATTTTGTTTTCTTTATAAATATTATTATAATATGAAATATAATTCATAATATTGTATGAAATGGTGATAATTTATAGACAATATTAATATATATATATATAGCTTATAACTAAATAATTACTTTATTTTTTGTTATATAAAAGATATAAAGCATATAATTATAATTATTTAAATAATATTTTTTTTWAAAACTATAATAATAATTAAGTTATATTTGTTCGCTCATATTTGGATGCAATGTACTGTTATTTACAGTAATGTACTAATATCTATACAGTATTTTACTGTTAAGTACATTAAAATATTTTTGATATATAGTATACTATATTTATTTAATAATATAGATTTTTTGTTGTTGTTTACTATTGTTGTTTAATTAGAAAAAAATAAATATATATATTATTTATTTAAAAGTACTGTAGTGTCATTTTAGATTTCATAACATTTTTTGAACTATTTTAAGTTTGTTTATTAGTTAATTCTTAATTAATAATTTAATGCTTAATACTATATATATTTTTTTATATTTACATATAATAATATGCACTTATGATTTATCTTTAAAAGCTTAGACAATTAACATAATAATATTTTCAATTTGAAATATAATAAAATTATATGAATATATCGTGTATATAACTAATATTTTATTTTATTTTCGTAAAACAATATTTATTTATTATTTTATTCTTGAAAATCATATTAATTACTGTACTTATTATATTAATATTATGTTAATTATGACTTAATTATTATAATAAAATATTATATTATAATATTTATTTGATTATATTGTTTAATTTATACACAGTATATAACATATTTTCTTATATAACTACTAATAAAAATAGTAATAAATATTATAATAAATTATAAATTTTTTAAAATTTAAGTTAAAGTTTCGTAATAAATATTATAGTTAAGTTTTTTAAATTGTCATATTAAAAATCAATATATTAAGTAATAACATACTGTTTAGACTAATATTATTTTTATTATTAGTAATAAATCTTTAAAAATAATTAATTGTTTTCTAACAAATTCAATTTTTATTTAAATCGCATTCCTAATTTTTAATTTTATTTACATAAATATTTATATATATATTTTTTAAAATGCTGAAATCGCTTGATCTAAACAAATCATTACCCAGTCATCTATCAATACCTATGGCTGGCAAACATTTATACAAATACGGTATTTCTTTATTTTCCGATTACACTGTCAAAAGGCGTCGCATATTTCATCCATTTATAAACTTTGTAACAATAATAGTGGTAAATACACGTCTTATAACAGCTATGTTAATACAATCTAATAATTTATATGACTATATAATGTTGGGTGATATTGCCTATGTGTTGGGTGCAAAATATCATATTAATTTGTTTTTATTAATTGCCAATTGTTTTGCATTACTATCATTATCAATACATTACATTAATTATTATTATTATAATGGTAAACATCGTAAACCCGCATATTTACCATTATATGAGATGTTATCMGGAAAACGGTCTCCAATAAGTATAGGACTTACCGACAGTCAGGATGTCTATCGATTGGCAAAATTTGCTAAAATTTTAATTAACAATTCCGGACAAATTGTATTAACATTTCCATTGGTTGCTATTTCATTGTCAATAGCTTTATGGTATAATTATTTAAAATCTTGTTGTTATTTATCAATAATATTGATCCCATTGATGACTATATGGACCGTACAGTTCATACAAATTGCAACATTAATTGGTACAAATTTATGCTATTCTTTAATCTATTTATTAATTATAATATATTATACAAAAATAAGACTCAAATCAATTAATTTAAAGATTAAGAAATTGTTGGATCATAATATTGATTATAACATATCAGTGAATAGATTACAAAAAATATTATTACCATTAAATTTATGTCATAAAGTGATAAAAAAATTAAATAACAATATTTGGTCAAAATTTATATTATTATTAATTGTCACAAACAGTTCAGTCATAATATTTTCACTCTATGTATCATTATTTGTATCAATGAGTGGTTTACTAAAACTAACATTTGCTTACGTTTCTGTATTGTGGTTAACAATGTTTATTAGCATTTTGATTATGGCTTCACAATTGGTTTCTGAAAATAATTTAACATATAAATTATTGAACAATTTTTTACTTAATTATCCAACAATCAACATTTGTTACAAAATAAAGGTAATCAAAATCAAAACAAAAATATTTTTTACAATTAAGTATTTCATAATAGGTATAAAATAATTATTTTTTAATTATTAAAATTTTAATTTTATTTAAGTTTCTCACAATGATTGAAAAAATTAGTGACAACAGTATTGGCTTTTATTGTTATAAGTTATTTATTATTGATTACAAACATTTTTATGAGGTTTGAAATTTTTGAATACAAAAATATTAATTATATTTTTTCTAATTATATTTTATTTTTTTAACAGATTATGTGTTTAATGGTAGCATTTTTTATGAAGACTATTCAATTATCACTATAACATTCAATATAAATATTGTAGTTTTCATAAGTAGTATTAAAATTATTTATATTTACTGTATACTTAATATTATCAACGTTATATCTTAATAGTTTTAATTATTGGTTAAAATTTTAATTAGGCGTGGTTCACATATTACGTTCGCACTTGAGGGGAGGGGGGGTTGGCCAAAGCGAACTTTTGCGAACGAGGAAAAATTTTAAGAACGTTCGCATTTAGATAATATTTTATTTCTTGTAGTGGGGGGGGGGGGGGGGTCGGTTAATACAAAAATTTTTTTTAATGACTACATGCGAACAATTGCGAACATAGGTAAATGATTAAAAGTGCGAACGTAATATGTGAACGACGCCTTATTATTATAATTTATATAAATATTTATTTTTAAGTAACATTAATAAAGTTTTAATAATTAATCAGTTTATTTTAAAATTATAGAATAAATATTACTATTGTATTCACAATTGAGACATGAAAAATTAATGTAATTTTCATAAATTTATTTTAAATATCTAATAAAAAAATATTATCAAACACTAAAAGAAATTAATTTCAATATAAATGATTAAAGTTATAACATAACAAATTTATCATATTAATTATCACTAACTAATATAAATTTTGGTATAAAAACATAATAAGTTAATTTTTTATAAAACTAATATTGTTCAATTAAAAAGTTATAATAATAATTAAATTATCGTATTAATAATATAAATAGTTAACTTAATAATAATATTTATTTAAGTATTTATAAATCATGAAGTCAACATGTAAGATATTCAAAATTTATAGTTTTATTTTTAATTATAAAATAATAACTTTGTAAATATTTTTTTTTATTTATAGATGTTTATATAATTTTACTATTAATGATAATAAACATCAATTGTTATCGATTGAAAATAAGCTGTAAAACTGACAAAATGAAAGTTAGTATATAAAAAWACTATTAGATTATTAAATATTAAAACTTAATAATTAATAATCTATAGGACGGACGTACTGGTGATGATCACTGTAGTCCTGATATTACTCAATACTCTATAGGATGTGATGATTCAACTGATATATTAAAATGTAAATGTGATTCTCCCTATACATGGAATTATGATAAAGAAATGTTTGTATTGATAACCTATAAAATTATTAGGAAATAACTTAATTATAATATTATTATTTTTTTGAGGAATAGTTGTGATTACAAAATAAGCTGCAAAACTGATTTAATGAAAGTAATGTATAAATATTATAAAATTAAAAATTGTTTAAAAATAATTCATTAATTGATAGGACGGCAAAACAGGTGACGAACACTGTAAGCCTGAATATACTAAATATTCCATAGGATGTGATGATTCAACCGGTCTATTGAAATGCAAATGTGATTCTCCCTATACATGGGATTACGATAAAGAAATGTATCATGATCATTTTATAATTAAAAAAATATTTAATTATTTTTTAAAAATAAATATTTCTTTTAAATTTATATACAGTTGCGCTTACAAAATAAGTTGTAAAATTAACAAAATGAAAGTAAGTTTACTATTGTAATAATTTCATTATTATTATTATTATTTACAAATATAATTACAAATTAATTTATTAAACTATAAACTAAACTATTTCTTAAAAAGGACGGCAAAACAGGTGACGAACACTGTATGCCTGAAATCACCAAATATTCCATAGGATGTGATGATTCAACCGGTGTTTTGAAATGCAAATGTGATTCACCCTATAGTTGGGATTACGATCAAGAAATGTATGTATAAAATACAGGCAAATAAATAATAATTTTTTAAAAAAATATTTACACAATTTTTTACATTATTACATTATTACATTATTAAAATTTTAGTTGTAAATATTTGGACAATAAATGTGATACAACATTAATGAAAGTATAATATTGATAAATAGTGATTTGGGTTTATATTTAATAAATTATATAATAATTATAGGATGGAAAAACAGGTTCAGATCATTGTAAAGATACGGTTACACCACATTCAACAGGTTGTGATGATACGGGAGGTATAGTTAAATGTATATGTGATTCAACCACACAATGGGATAGTTATAGTCAAACGTAAGTTATATATAATATATTTATTAATGTAACTAAAATACAATAATATATAATTGTTTTTTTGAAAATTTAGTTGTAAAGATACACTAAAACAATGCGATACACAGAAAATGAAAGTAAATAAATTTATTTTATATTTTTAAATAGTGTCATTAGATAACCTACATAAAAATAATAAATAATTTTTTATATTTTTTATTTTAAAACTATATAAATTAATACTATATAATTATACCACATTTGGGGTTGTGATGATATAGGTGTTGTTAATATTCAAATTTTCAATAATGCTTTCTAGCATTCTTAACTAAGATTAATGATAATTAAAACTTATATAATTATTTTTTTAAACAATATATCTGAGATATTATTTGAAATTTTTCGTGAGAAATTAATTATCATACAACACAACAACAAAAATATTGAGTGTTTTATCAAATTAATTATCACTATTACTATAAATTTTGGTATAAAAACATAATAAGTTAATTTTTTGTAAAACTAATATTGTTCAATTAAAAAATTATAATAATAATTAAATTATTGAATTATTGATATAAATAGTTAACTTAATAATAATATTTATTTAAGTATTAATAAATTATGAAGCCAACATGTAAGATATTCAAAATTTATAGTTTTATTTTTAATTATAAAATAATAACTTTGTAAATATTTGTTTTTATTTATAGATGTTTATATAATTTTACTATTAATGATAATAAACATCAATTGTTATCGATTGAAAATAAGCTGTAAAACTGACAAAATGAAAGTTATATATTAATAAATATTAAATTATTAAATATTAAAACTTAATAATTAATAATCTATAGGACGGACGTACTGGTGATGATCACTGTAGTCCTGATATCACTCAATACTCCATAGGATGTGATGATTCAACCGATATTTTAAAATGTAAATGTGATTCTCCCTATACATGGAATTATGATAAAGAAATGTTTGTATTTTAAAAACTATAAAATTATTAGAAAATAACTTTATTATAATATTGATATTTTTTGCTGAATAGTTGTGATTACAAAATAAGCTGCAAAAATGATTTAATGAAAGTAATGTATAAATATTATAAAATTAAAAATTGTTTAAAAATAATTTATTAATTGATAGGACGGCAAAACAGGTGACGAACACTGTAAGCCTGAATATACTAAATATTCCATAGGATGTGATGATTCAACCGGTCTATTGAAATGCAAATGTGATTCTCCCTATACATGGGATTACGATAAAGAAATGTATCATGATCATTTTATAATCAAAAAAAATATTTAATTTGTTTTTAATAATAAATATTTTTAAAAATTATATACAGTTGCGCTTACAAAATAAGTTGTAAAATTAACAAAATGAAAGTAAGTTTACTATTGTAATAATTATATTTTTAATTATTTAAAAATATAATTACAAATTAATTTATTAAACTATAAACTAAACTATTTTTTTTAAAAAAGGACGGCAAAACAGGTGACGAACACTGTAAGCCTGAAAACACCAAATATTCCATAGGATGTGATGATTCAACCGGTGTTTTAAAATGCAAATGTGATTCACCCTATAGTTGGGATTACGATCAAGAAATGTATGTAAAAAATACAGACAAATAAATAATAATTATTAAAAATAATTTAATAAAATAATTACACGATTTTTTACAATTATTAAAATTTTTAGTTGTAAATATTTGGACAATAAATGTGATACAACATTAATGAAAGTATAATATTGATAAATAGTGATTTGGGTTTATATATAATAAATTGTATAATAATTATAGGATGGAAAAACAGGTTCAGATCATTGTAAAGATACGGTTACACCACATTCAACGGGTTGTGATGACACGGGAGGTATAGTTAAGTGTATATGTGATTCAACCACACAATGGGATAGTTATAGTCAAACGTAAGTTATATTAAATATATAATATATTTATTACTGTAACTAAAATACAATAATATATAATTGTTTTTTTTTTGAAAATTTAGTTGTAAAGATACACTAAAACAATGCGATACACAGAAAATGAAAGTAAATAAATAAATTTGTTTTTATATTTTTAAATAGTGTCACATAAGAAATACTTATAATAATAATAATTTTTTACATAGGATGGTAAAACAGGTACAGATCATTGTAAAGATAGTGTTACACCACATTCAGTGGGTTGTGATGACACGGGAGGTATAGTTAAATGTATATGTGATTCAACTACAGAATGGGACGTTTCAACTGAAACGTAAGATTAATGATAATTAAAATTACGTAATAAATCTTTTGATTTTTTGATAATTTTAATTTACAGTTGTATAGCTAAGTCGATAGAAAAGTGCGATACAAAAATTATGAAAGTAATTATTTAAATAAAAATTTATGATTACACTAAATTGTAATAAGTTATTAATTATTATTTAATTGTAGGATAAGAAAACAGGTACAGAACATTGTAAAGATGCGGTTACACCACATTCAAAGGGTTGTGATGATACGGGAGGTGTTGTTAAATGTAAATGTGATGAAACCACACAATGGGACACTGATTCAGAAAGGTAATATAAATTATACTAAAATTAATTTTCAAAAATTGTAAAATTTTATTTAAACTAAACAGATGTAAAGCTAACACTTGTGAAAATACAAAATTAAGGTAACATATATTATAAACAAAACTAAAAATATCAATAATTAATATATTATTAATTATAAATAGTATGGATTAACAGGTAATGAATATTGTAAACCAACTAAACATACCATTCAATTGGTTGTGATGATACGGGAGGTATAGTTAAATGTAAATGTGATGAAACCACACAATGGGACTTTGATAGTTACACGTAAAATTAATAAAACTAAAATTAAACTTAAAAATTGATTAAATTTTATTTTACTAAATTTACAGATGTAAAGCTAACACTTGTGAAAATAAAAAAATGAAGGTAAAGTAAATTATTTACATTAAACTAAGATTAAATAAATTATATTTTATTAATCTAAATAGGATACTAAAACAGGTACAGAACATTGTAAACCTAGTGTTACACCACATTCAACGGGTTGTGATGATACGGGAGGTGTTGTTAAATGTAAATGTGATGAAACCACAAAATGGCACATTGATAGTGAAACGTAAAATTAATATAAGTTAAATAAATGAAAAAAAAATTATAATATATCTATATATTATCAGTTGCATAGTTCGTGAACAATGTGATAGACAATTAATGAAAGTAAGTAATATTATAAACTTTTGTTACTAAATGTGAATTAATAAAATTGTTAAATATTAATAGGATGGATTAACAGGTACAGAACATTGTAAATCAACTAAAACATATCATTCAACTGGTTGTGATGATAGGGATGGTGTAGTCAAATGTAGTTGTGATGATTATACAAAATGGGATAGTGATAGTCAAACGTAAGATATATATTTCATATTCAAAATAAATAACTATTATAATACTTATATATATATATCAAATTAATTATCTATTATTTATTTAAAATTAAATTAGATGTAAATCATATTATTCATGCGACACTGATGAACAAGTATATAAAATTATATATATATATATATATTACTAAATATTATTATTTGAATTAAAATTATAAACTATAAGAATATTTGATTATAATTATATATATAGCCTGGAATAACTTGGAATCAATATTGTGTTAATAATCCAACAAATCATTTTGACGGATGTCTAGTTATAGATAATAAACCTCATTGTAAATGTCAAGAAAATTATCGTTGGATAGAAACTACTAAAAAGTATAAAAATATAATTTTTAATATTATATCTAATAATAAATTGTATAAATTAGTTGTGATAGAGATGCTCAATGTTCTAATGAAAAAGAGGTATATTAAAAATTTTTATAAAATAAAATAATTTAAATTATATATATAATAAATTTATATATATATTACGATATATCTTATTATTATTATAGACAGGAATAACTTGGAATCAATATTGTATTAATAATACAACAAATCATTTTATCGGATGTCAAGTACTTAAAAATAATATTCAATGCAAATGTGAACCAAACTATCATTGGATTGAATATAACAAAGGGTATTCAAATATATATCTAAAAACAATATTAATATTATATTTTTAAAGTTATTAGTTTTTAATTATTTATAATTTATATATTTTTAAGTCAATAGTTGTAATAATGTTATAATTTTTTCAACAGATGCAGAGCTTATGCGGATATTAATTAGAAATAATATTATATTTCAATGATATATATATAATTTCTAACATATTTAAAAATTTGTTTTGAATAATTAATATATTAAAAATCCAATAATTAGTTAAATATTAATAAATAAAATTTAATATATTTTTTGAAAATGTCATTTTATTAATTATCTTTAAAAAATTATAATAATACAGTTTGCTAATCTTATAAAGAAATTATTTTAATATTTAAAAATATCATATGCACTTAAATTTCATAAATAATATATTTATAATTTCTTATAAAATTGTTGATTATTTCAACAACAAAAAAATTGTCAGCAAATGTAGAAACATATATAAAATGTTTTGACTGTCGACATATTGAAACCAATATCAATAGCCATATCAAACATTTTACTTAAATTTTACTTAAAAATCAATTAGGATTTTTTTGCTATTACAATATTATATGATAATAATATGAATTAGAAAAACATTAAGATAATTATAATAATTATAAAGTATTAACTAAAATTGCTGATTAAAATATTGTTATTGTATTCATAAATTATCGATAATAATAATACTGTATATTTGTATAGTAAATATATAATTTCAATATTTTCAAGATATAATTTTGAAATTATTTTGAAGTTATCTAATACAGGATATTATCAAATACTTTAATTTTAATGATAATATTTGAAGTTATATTTGAAGATATATTTGAATTAATTTATAATATTTAGATTATAAATTATTTTTATATTAATTATTATAAAACAATATTTTAAAGTTATTTGATTATTTTATGGACTTAACTGTTGATATGAAATTAATTTTTATATTAAAATAAAATTAGTTTATTTATCAATTTACTTATCATAATTAACATAAATTTAAGTATAAATACAAAAAAATCATATATGGTAAAATAGTTATTTATTATAACAATAAAAAACTTTATATTAATAAATAATATCCTAACTTAATAATTGTTGTGATTTAATTATATTAAAAGTAAAAATTTACAAATATATAAATTATGAAGGTAACATGTAAGTTAATTAAATACATAATTATCATTATGTAAACATTTGTAATTTAATATTTGTTATTTGTTATTAACTTTATTTAGATCTGTATTTCATTTTACTATTAATAATAATAAACATCAATTGTTATCAATTGAAAATAAGCTGTAAAACTGACAAAATGAAAGTTAGTATTAAAAAAACTATTAAATTATTAAATATTAAAACTTAATAATTAATATTTAATAATCTATAGGACGGACGTACTGGTGATGATCACTGTAGTCCTTATATCACTCAATACTCTATAGGATGTAATATATAATTAATTATAAATAGGATGGATTAAGTGGTGCAGAGCATTGTAAAGCAACTAAAACTATTCATTCAACTGGTTGTGATGACACGGGAGGTGTTGTTAAATGTAAATGTGATGATAAAACAATATGGGATAGTCTTAAACAAATGTAAGACATGTATTAGAAACAAATTAAAAATTTTTAATAACTATAATTTTAATAATAATATCAACTTTTTTCTATATTACACTTATTAACAGTCAAAAAGTTGTGCTAATGTTATAATTTTTTGTTTAAAGGTGTGGATAAAAAAGAAGATTAATTTGCAATAAAATTTCATTGCAATTAATAAGTAAATAATTTAAAACATATTTAAAAATTATTGTTAAACAATGAGAATTATATACAAAAAAATACTGTACAAATAAATAATTAAATTATTTTGAATAAAAAATTTTTAATTTTATTATTATATTATAATTACATTTATATATTGGTCTTAAAAATTTTGAGTAAATTAATTATTTTTTACATTTTTATCGTTATGTAATTTCTAAATATTAGAGAATAAAAACGTTTTTTATGTTTATATTACATAAAAACATAAATTTCATAAATTATATATATTTTTATTTAATAATTAATTTCTAATAAAATCTTTAATTGTTTCAAATAGTTGTCGGCAAATGTCGACACATGTATACAATGTTTGGCTGTCGGCATACCATTGAATCCATGACTGGAAAAGCTATGTGAATAGGCGCCCATATCTTCAAACACTATATGATCGCCAATAGACAACTCGGGCATAGATATATATCTTACAATACAATCAGCACTGGCACAGGTAGGTCCCCATAATGTGCTCATATAAGTTTGAGTATTATTATTATTAAGTTTAYTCGTGAGCACTGGTATTGGTTTATACTGTTTCTTAACAATGATTGCATTTGCAAACGATCCGTAGGCGCCGTCATTCAGATAATACATGATATGTTGGTTATGGTTGTCATCAGTGACCATACGTTTCGATATAATACGAGTTAGTAAAGTGAATGCCGACTCTGCAAAGTAAGTGCCCGGTTCTGCCATTATTTCCATAGTATTATTGTCAACAAAATAGGTATCTATAGCTCGGTTAATATCGGCGGCAATGTCTTCAAAAGTGGCAACATTTGTGACCAATTTATTAAAATAAAATTTATCGGTTCCCGGAAATCCACCGCCAATATCCAGAATTGTCATTTTGAAACCAATATCAATGGCCATATCAAACACTTTACGACATCTTTTGATTGCATCCACATATGTCTGACCCGACTGACAGAGTGGTCCCACATGAAAGGCCACACCGACCACTTGAAGTCCTAATTCGTAACACAGTTTAAGCAATTGTTGACAATCGGCAAAATCGGCTCCAAATTTTTGGCCCAATTTAAGTGTCGAGTGTTTGTCGTCGACTTTAATTCTCAACAAAAGTCTAGMTCCGGGATATAAGTCATGAATTTTATGTATTTCCTCTTTGCCGTCAAAAGTCAGTAAATCTACGCCAACTTTTTGTGAGTATATGATTGATGTCTGAGTTTTGTTAGTATTGGCATATATTATGGATTCGGGTTCAACACCAATGGATAGTACTGTTTTGATTTCATGCTTTATTTGTTATGAAAATTTATGTTAAATACAAATAATTGTTTTAGCAATCATAAGTAAGACATACCTGACTGGCGCAGTCAAACCCAATACCAAACTTATGCAAAATCTTGAGCATCGGTACAAATGGATTACATTTGACGGCATAGTATGGCTTAACTCTGGGCAGTAATTGTTGCCATTTATCATGTTTTTTGATYACATTTTCCACATTGAATATAGAAATTGGTTCATCACTTTCACTGCTAATATATTCTGATATATTATTAATTAAATTAACCATTTTTTGTTTGTTTTTATTTCAACTTAATTATTATGAATTTAATAATTATTATAGTATTGAACATAAATKACTAAATATTTATATATATATATATATATAGTTTGTATCAAATAGCTCAAATAACTAATTTATCTGACCATTTCTAGCTTATCTACCTGTGCAATATTTATTATATTTTAATACAATTAATCTTGTATAAAAAATGCTATGTAAAGTCCTTAAAATCACAAAAATTAWATAWTTATTGTAGATTAGATTATTTATTTGTTATATAAAGTCCAGAGATGTATAAATGTTATTTTTTAATGTCAATACACTATAGCTGTCAATCAGCCAAAGATAAACAATATCAATGATATTATTATAATATAATATTATGAGTACCGGTAATGTTAACTGTTTCAAAATTTAAGTGACCAAGATTAAATCAATTTAATAACATTTTATTAGATTTACAAGTATATGATATTTTTTATAAATAATGATAAAAAATTATATATTATGTAAAACATGTTAACAGGATATGATTATAAATATTTTGGTATAGTATAGTGATATAAATTATTTGATGAAATTTAATGTTAAGTAATGATTCAAACGAGTCCGGCATCTTTGGCGAGGGAGTAAAATATTGTTTGATTATCATTCAGTAGATTATTAGGTGAATCAAACTCAGCCACCCGTCCCTCGTGAAGAACTAACACACGGTCTGAATCCATGATTGTATTCAATCTGTGAGCTATTGTAAGGACAGTACATGACTTGAATTCCTGTCTAATGGTTTGCTGTATCAGTGCGTCTGTCTCCACATCAATGGCAGCCGTGGCCTCATCGAGGATCAGTATAGCCGTGTGTCGGAGCAGAGCTCGACCCAGACATATGAGTTGGCGCTGACCAACACTCAGATTTTCTCCGCCTTCAGACACACGATAGTCGAGTCCATTGTCTTGTGATTTAACAAATGACTTGAGATGTGAGTTCTCTAATGCATTCCATAAGTCATTGTCTGAAGACTTTTCAAACGGATCTAAATTAGAGCGAATGGTTCCCGAAAACAATACCGGATCCTGAGGTATGATTGTTAGACGTGATCTCAAGTCTTGGAGACCCATTTTGCTGATATCGACGCCATCGATGACTATTTTACCGAACACTGACTCAATAATTCTAAAGAGTGCCAAAGTTAGTGACGACTTCCCGGCACCGGTTCGGCCAACGATTCCAATCTGTGAGATAATAAAACAAATTTTTTTATTTAATTTATTGATATTATTATGAATTCATCAAAATATCACTTTACATACCTTCTCTCCCGATTTGATATTTAAATCAATGTTTTTGATAACTAAATCCAGTCCATCGCGATATCGAGTACCGTAATCACTAAACTCAATGCATCCTTTTCTGGCCAACTCTCGGCAACCTTTTGACCSGAATGCCATTCGGCTTCTAACGGGACGTTAGAATACTCGTCGATCCGTTCGACTGACACCACATTGTTCTCCAATTCAGCAAACATTTTGACACACATATTGAGCGCAGTTGTGATACTCATTGCATATGATATTGACATACCAGCCCCACCTCCAGTCAATGTTCCCTTTGCCAGCACAGCGAACAGTGCGGCAAAAAATATCAGACAATTGCCCATTAATTCAAGCCTTATCTGTAGCCAACAGTTGGCAATAGTGCTCGGATAGAGACACATCTGATTGTTATCGACTCGAGTGTCCGATTCTCGTATAAACCGATCGCTGCAACCGTAGGCTCTTATGGTGGACACACCGGTAACTGTTTCGCTGAAATGGGTGTAAATCGGCGATCGAGTAATTGACTCCAAACTATTTTTTAGTGAAAAATTATTTTTATAAATTATTATTATTATTAAAAATGATATGATTTATAAATTGAATAATAATAATAATAATAATAATATACCGTTTAAGTTGTCGCGATGTTGCAACATAAATTTTCTATAAAAAAAATATTAAAKATATTAAAAATTAACTGTAATTAGTATATAAATATATTTTTAACTACTATGCAAAATACCTGCAGAAAATAGTATAGAATAATAATGGGAACAAATGCGGCCAAAAATGTCGGCGTTTCAGTCGATATGATAATAATAGTAGAAATCACAGAAAATGTAGTACTGGTGACCACACGCATGGTTTGGTTCATCATAGTGTCCATTACGTCGATGTCTTTACTGAACCGATTCAGTATCCGACCCAATGGTGTCGTGTCGAAGAAGCTCATCGGCGAGTGTAAGATATTTGTTAAGAGATTGTGATGGAGAACACGTGAGGCCCGGTTACTGCCGCATACGTTCATTAACCAATCAATACCCGACGATATTGCCTGAATTGAGCCCATCAATGCATAGATGCCGTAATAAAAGGCATTGTTATCAGGATTACCGTCCTCTGTCCATGTGGTCAACCAATAACTTTTGCCTAAATCCATTGCTTTAGTAGTTATGGCACAAAACACCATTATTARTGTAAACGGGTAGGACATGGCTCTGAARTATTTTAGATACACCTTAAGAGAAGAGAAGATAATAATAATAATAATAATAATAAGTTATAAAGTTTTTATAACAAAAATGTTTTTCAAAATATTTACCGAAAACTTAACATTTCCTGTCTCTGCGTTTTCATTGGTAACCAGTTTTGCTTTATCTTTATTTTCGTCGTTTTCATCGTTGTTGATGACTGTTGTCGTCTTTTTACGTTTTCTGACAACACTTTTCTCTTCTTCATTGTCTTCATCTTTTTCTTCAGTCTTATCCATTGAATATTGTTTTATTAATTCTGCAAAATCTTTGTCCTCATGAAGTAGGTAATCGTAAGTACCAATTGATCCAATTTTCCCATCTTTTAGTACAACAATCAAATCGACATTCGGTAACACAAAGAGTTGATTTGTTACCAGAATTCGGGTTTTATTTTTCAAAACACCAGTATTTGTATCTAAAACCTCATTCATAATATGTTTGCCCACATGTGCGTCAACTTTTTATATACCAATAAATATAAAATTATTAGTTTTTAATTTTAAAAAACAAATTTTGTAAAATAATTTAATTAAAACAATAAAAAAAAATACCGGCGCTGAGAGGGTCGTCAAGTAGATAGAGATCGGCATCGGAATACACAGCTCGGGCTAAACTGACTCTTTGTTTTTGACCTCCGCTTAAATTTATGCCTTTTTCTCCAATTTCTGTGGCGTCTCCGGCCGACAGTTGAAGTAAATCCTGTTTGAGAGCACAACTCCGGATGACTTTATCATACAGTCTTACATCAAATGATTCTCCAAATGTGATATTTTCTTTGACGGTTGCATTTTGAATCCACGCCTGTTGGGGAACGTACGCTATTTTGGCTCCCGATTTAACATTGACTGAACCCGAAACTATTTCCATTTCACCCAATATTGCCGACAAAAATGAACTTTTACCCGAACCCACAGTACCGACTACTGCAACAAACATGCCGTCCTTTACATTCAAATTAATCTCTTTAAGTATCGGTTTKGCRCCATTTTGGACATCTTCGACAGTGTCCCAGGTGAAGGTACCATTAGTTAGTCTAACTGTATATTGTTTGTCCTCTTGACGGCTAACATAACCGCTTAGTTCGGGAAAGTCGAGAAACTTGTTTAGACGTTTGATAGACACCATCACTAGTGTCAGACCATTGATCATATAGGGTATCAAAACTAACGGCATATTCAATAGATTGAACAGCGATAGCGAGACAAACACTTTGCTGGCGTCGATCTGATTGCGGCTATCGATAACCAAATACAAACCAAACGTTGTAAGCGCCACAAAAAACGGTGTGTTTGATGCAATAAACATGAGGACAGTCTGTATAAAACCGGCCAAACGTAGAAACCATAGCTCTTTTGATCGGATTTTCAGAATTACTTGAGTAAAAGCTTCTTCCCAGGCGTACAACTGGTCATTCAGACAGAAAGTGAGACAATTAAGTGTTTTATTAATTATATTAATTTATATTTTATTATCATTTTATTATTTATAATTACTTTTAAGACTTTAATGCCGCTGAGGATCTCATTCATTGTTTTAATACGTGAATCCTTTAATATCATTTGTTGCATTTGAATCCGTTTGACTCTACTGATGACCACCCAATTGATTGGTATGAATGTCATCATTAGTACCAAACCGCCAAATACGGCAACACCTAATTCATTGTACAATAGATACAATGCTATACATATCTGGATGGGAGCTGTCCATAGAAACTGCATATATGGTAATAGTGCTAAATAAAAATAATATAATAATTAGATAATTTTTTAAAAAAATTAACTATAATTTTCATTTTATTACCTGAAAAACGTTGGCAATCGATGGCCATAATGTTGACAATCTCGCCGGTAGTCGTGTCCTTTCGGGCGCTATTACTCAACACAAGTGACTTACGATATACGGCTGATGTCAAACATGTCTTGATTCGCATACCTATTGTAGAGACATAAACATTATTTTATTTTTTTAAAAATAGTATCTAAACTAAAGTTATTAGTAATAATAATAGTAGTTAACTACTGTTTTACTAATATAATGCTGTTTCTCTACATTATTACAGTAATTACAACTATTAGTATACTCTTATGAAACATACCTAAGACTGCCATACGCTGGGAATGGTAGGCAGTGACCAAACTGTTGAACATATTGGTGAATACAAATAACAGTGCGTAGACATAGCCGTGCCAACCGGGCTCATCTGATGTCGTAAAATTGATCAATAATCTGATTGACAACAAATAATAAGTTATATATATATATATATATATATATATATATATTATTGTTATTAATAAAATAAATCAAATGTATAAAATGTTTTTACTTAAGTATCATAGGATTAGCCAATTGTAGACAATCGGTAAACAGTCTTAAAATACACGGCGGAAAAAAGTAAAAC